GGAAAAATCGAGGCCTCGAATCCTCGCCGAGGCGGGGCGAGGAATCCTCGCGAGGATTTTTCCCAGAAAACCTGCCTCGACCCCCGGAATTTCGAGGCGAGGATTTCCGAGGCGAGGAAATCCTCGCCTCATTGCTCATGTCTACTCTCAGGTGCACTGCTCCCTCTCAGCTGCACTGCTCCCTCTCAGGTGCACTGCTCCCTCTCAGGTGCACTGCTCCCTCTCAGATGCACTGCTTCCTCTCAGGTGCACTGCTCCCTCTCAGGTGCACTGCTCCCTCTCAGGTGCACTGCTCCCTCTCAGGTGCACTGCTCCCTCTCAGGTGCACTGCTCCCTCTCAGGTGCACTGCTCCCTCTCAGGTGCACTGCTCCCTCTCAGGTGCACTGCTCCCTCTCAGGTGCACTGCTCCCTCCCAGGTGCACTGCTCCCTCTCAGCTGCACTGCTCCCTCTCAGCTGCACTGCTCCCTCTCAGCTGCACTGCTCCCTCTCAGCTGCACTGCTCCCTCTCAGCTGCACTGCTCCCTCTCAGGTGCACTGCTCCCTCTCAGGTGCACTGCTCCCTCTCAGAGGTGCACTGCTCCCTCTCAGGTGCACTGCTCCCTCTCAGGTGCACTGCTCCCTCTCAGGTGCCCTGCTCCCTCTCAGGTGCACTGCTTCCTCTCAGCTGCACTGCTCCCTCTCAGCTGCACTGCTCCCTCTCAGCTGCACTGCTCCCTCTCAGCTGCACTGCTCCCTCTCAGGTGCACTGCTCCCTCTCAGCTGCACTGCTCCCTCTCAGCTGCACTGCTCCCTCTCAGCTGCACTGCTCCCTCTCAGGTGCACTGCTCCCTCTCAGGTGCACTGCTCCCTCCCAGGTGCACTGCTCCCTCCCAGGTGCACTGCTCCCTCTCAGGTGCACTGCTCCCTCTCAGGTGCACTGCTCCCTCTCAGGTGCACTGCTCCCTCTCAGGTGCACTGCTCCCTCTCAGCTGCACTGCTCCCAATCAGGTGCACTGCTCCCTCTCAGGTGCACTGCTCCCTCTCAGGTGCACTGCTTCCTCTCAGGTGCTCTGCTCCCTCTCAGTTGCACTGCTGCTCCCTCTCACTCAGATGCACCTGCCCCCTCTCGGGTAGACTTGAGCATTTTACCCGGTCGGGTCGCTGGTAGACATGGTTAAAATGCGATGCGATGCGATATCGCATTGCATTTTGTCATATCGCGCGTGATATCGCAGCGATGCGATATCGCATCGCTGCGATATTCTGTTTCAAAATTTGAAATCGCATATCGCGATTTAGGGTGCGATGTTAAAAAATATTGCACCCTCAAATGCGATATATCGCGCGATGCGATTTAATATCGCATCGCGTTTAGGGGTCGGAGGAGAAAATCAGAACTACAAGGCTGGCTTTCCTAGGTGCGCGAGGAATCAGGTGAGTGAAGTTTGAGGGAGAATGAGATATATCGTGGCCCCTCTCCGATGTAGAGCGTGTTAGAGGGGCAGGGGTTGGATTCTGTAGATGCGGAGTAATTTAGTGCGGTTGGAGTGGTGGAAATTGGTTGGATTTCCAACCAATTGAATTAGTGGGGGTCGAGTTTCAATCATCCCCCTAAATCCCTTTAACCGCACACCACCACATTCCATCCACCACCGCCCATTTCAAAATTTGAATCTCCAACCAACTCCCCTCCCTCGACCGCACTGCACCTAGACATGATCAAAACGCGATTGCGATTTAAATCGCATCGCATGCAGGTGCGATGTTTAAAAAAGCGATGCGATTTTAAATCGCATCGCGCGATTACTTTTTCCAAAAAAATAAAATTTCAAATCTCATTTTACCTGCGATGTATTAAAAAGTCGCATGCGATATTTAATTAAATCGCGCAATGCGATTTTAAATCGCATCGCGTTTTAAAACAGAATTAAATAACACCCAAAAAAGCAGAAAAAAAACATGGCTGCTGGGAAATTGACTCACGGGCAGTCATAAGCTGGAGTGCAAATAACCAGTGTGGTTTCGTAGGGGGATTCAGAGTGGGTTTCAGTGCGATATCGCGCGCAATTAAAATGCGATTTAAATGAAATCGCGCAATATTAATTCCTCGCATTCGCGATGATTAAAAAAAAAAAAAAAAAACTTCGCCATCGCAAAAACGCGATTTAATGCGATGCGATGCGATGCGATGCGATTTTTTTTGCCCATGTCTAACTGCACCCCTTTTCAACTAGAATTTCCAACCCTTACTCTCCAAGCTCCTCACAAACACCTCCCCGTCAATTACGCCAACCCCAAACAGCCGCGCGCAGTTTCCGCACGCCATTACAACGAGAGAACCCTATTTTTTGCTAAGTTCGGGGCCCGCGCCCATGGTCCCCCCCTTTTCTAGCGCAATTCCGCAGCGCGATATGCGGATGTATGGCGTGCGATATCTTTATATCGCATATCGCGTTTTATCGGGCTGGAAAATCCGCGATAAATGCCCTATATTGCAAAAATCGCGCGATATTATCGCATCACATCGGTGCGATTTTTTTTATTTTTTTTTTTAAATCGAAATCGCAAAATGCGATTTAACGCGATGCGATGCGATATACCCATGTCTAGTCGCGGGTACACGATCTGACCCGACATTTTGGCCGGGTCGGGTAATAGGATTTTGACGAATTACCCCGCTGGGTTGGGTCGGGTACTTGGGCCGGGTAATGATACCCGTTTTGAATTACGCGAAATTTCGGGTAATGTTTTACCCGTCGGGTCGCGGGTACCCGACCCGACTTCTTGTTTGTTGCTCTGGGTTTGTCATGTTTGCTGAAATCACGCAGCCTTCGTGTTTGCTGAGTTTTACAGCCACCTAGGGGCTACGTGACCGCAAACACGTTTAGCGTTTGAAACTAGACATGGGGAAAAAAAAAAAACGCATCGCATTTATCCGCGTTTTTGCGATTGTGAAAAAAAATATAAAAAATCATCGTGTGATGTGATGAATTCCTTTTTGCGCGATTTAATTTTAATCGCATTTAAATCGCGCTAAAAAACGCGATTTAAATGCGATATGCGTTTTTTTTTTAAATCGTGCGCGCTGTCTTACTGAAACCCACTCTGAAACCCACTACAAAACCACACTAGTTATTTGCACCCTATCATACGACCAAGGTGCAAAAAAATGGCACGTGTATTTAACGGTCCGTTTTAAACGGCCGTTGTTCATGGTGGGTTTTGGTAAAAAACGACGTTTTTTTGTTAGACCTTTTTGCGTGAAAATTTTGTATATATAAAAAGCATGCGTAAACAAGTGGCCTGATCGCTAAGGCAGCCTGCATCGTCCTACGGGGTAATTAGCGGCTTTGAAACAGGCATGTGATGTCCATGCCCCTAGTCTGTCGCTTTCTAGGCCTCATTCTGCTCCTACTCCACCATCCCCCCCGTCCTCCTCCTCCTCCTCCTCCTAAGTGTCATCCATCTAGTCCCCCCCCCCTAGTCCTCCCCCCCCTAAGCGTTATTAGCTCGGCCAAAAACAATGTACATATTATACGGTGATACGGAAAAAAACGGTCGTATAGAATGGCCGGTTTTTTTAACCAAACGCAAAATGCAACTTTCAACCGTTTTAATCGTATTATACGACCGTTGTATACGATCCCGTTTTAAACGGCAAAAAAGGATTAAAAAACGCCGTTTTTTTGCACCTTGCTTACGACTGCCCGTGATTCAATTTCCCGGCAGCCATGGTTTTTTTCTGTTTTTTTTGGGTGTTTTTTTAATTATGTTTTGAAACGCGATTCGATTTTAAATCGCATCGCGCAATTTATTCAAATACCGCATGCGGTTTTAATATTCATCGCGCGCAGAATGCGAAGTGCGATTTTTTTTTTTGCAGAAATTAAATCGCGCGATGCGATTTAAAATCGCATCGCATTTAATTAAATCGCCCCCCAATGCAATGCGACTTAAATCGCAATCGCATTTTGCCCATGTCTATTTTAAACGAAGCGTTTAAACGCTAAACGCACTTGCTTGAGTTTCTAAACGCTAGAGTAAACGCACGCCCGGGCAGCCTTAAAATTTCTCTCAGGCAGGGTATTAAAACCTGGGATAGGTAGGGGGAGGCAAGGGGATCATATGGTATAAAACTTTTTACATAAAAAAGTTTTGCCACGTTAAATCCACATGTCAACGACTCGTATGTATTATACGCTGCAGACGGTGTAGGATTAGCGTCTGCAGCATTAGGGGGGGTCGACATGGGCGTGGGGGCCCTTAGGTTAGCGCGAAATTAGGTGGCCAGGGCGGGTGGGAGATGAGAGAATAACGACTAGATCTGAAACTACGGCTATGGCACGCGGGCGGAACTCTAGGGTTCCCGTTTTTTACGTTGAAGAGATTGTCATGGAAGGAGGGGAGAAAGTGGTTAGATTGGAGTGAAAATCGTAGATGAACAGGGTGCTGTGCGGTTGAGCAGGGCAAAAGAGTTGGATTCGTTTTTTGGTCGCTAGGTTGGGATTTGAGAATGTCTAGTTGAATTTGCCAGGTCGCAAAGTCGCGGAAAAAAACGGATTGATTTTTTGGCCGGGCTGCCTCTAAAATTTTACCCGAGCGTTTAGTGTTTACGTGAGCGTTTTGCGTTTAGCGTTTAAATGCTAAATGCTGCCCCGCCAGAGCGTTTGCGGTCACGTACCCTAGGGGTACCCGGGTAATATTACCCGAGTTCAACTAAATGCGGGCCGGGTATACCCGACCCGCCAGACGGGTACCCAATTACCCGGTATTAAAAGACGGGTCGGGTAACAGACCTCCAAACATTACCTGGAAATTACCCGACCCGACCCGACCCGGACCCGATCGCGGGTAGGGCAAAACCGGGTCGGGTCGGGTAATTACCCGGTTTTGCTCATGTCTACTCTCGGGTGCACCTGCAGCGGGTGGATCGTGTTATTCAGGACGCCGTTTATCTCTTTCTGTACCCCCGTTGATTCTCCCCCACAACCACACCTGCATGTCCCTGTCGCTTCGCAG